TTAAGACACTTTCTTATTTATGTATTTATATACACTATATTCATAAAAATTTATAAATATAAAACAAAATATGAATTGTATTTTGCTTATAAATTAATTTTGGGTAATCCTTGTCTACAGTATAACACAAGTAAGGAGTTATGCTAAGATAATGAGGTCTTAACATTTTATTTAATTTTATTATTTTTATTATTCTGTTAATTAAGTTAATTTTATATTAATATGGATCTTATTAAGTTAAATAATTATTTTAATAAAAATTTTATAATTTATTAAAAATTATTATATATAAATATGGATTGGCTCCGACCATGTCTTAAGACTTTTAATTAATTGTCTAGATCCAATGTTATATTTAACTTTTACTGTATATTAAGCGGCCGTCCATATATTTGATATGACTGTATGGAAAACTACTAATGTTTTATATCTAAGGTTTAGAATTATTTGATAAGTTATATTTTTATGTAAACCTAAAGGTCTATCATTTTGTAACTGAGACCTCAATATTGTATTTAAGAGATATACACTTTGTATGCTTTAGTGAGTCTTAGTCTGGACGCAGACCTGAGTGGTTGCTCTACGGAAGACCGTCTCATATGTTGTTATAATTAAAGTTATGTTTGTTATCTAAAAAAGTATAAACTCTAAGCCTTCGGTCCATTTCATGGTAACTGATAGTTACTGTCCTGAGTTGTGTAAGACTTAGTACTTTAAAACTAAGCAGGGTTAACTCGTGTAAGACGTAGTGGTGTAAATCTAAGCCAAGTTCGGTGGTCCCATCCAAATAGGTTTTAGAATTATAAAAAGAAATTAATAAACCAATTATATCTGTAATTCATTTTTCAAGAGATTTTGATTTTTAAAATTTATACTTAAAGGACACTTCACTGTAGTACTGCTTTCTATCAATACACCGTGTTATTCAATAATATCAATTATAAATAATTTAATGAATTTTCATAAAAATTTGTTCAGTTAAATGATTTGATTAACTAATATTTATTAATTTTAAATTAGTGCATAACATTGATTTTATGATAACGTGATTTTAAAATAATATTTAAATGGGAAAACATGTATAAAATGCGGGGATTCTAGCATTTTTGATGGCTTAGAAATTCATAGAAAAACCTACAGGTTATATAAAATGCACGCACATTCACTTATATTTTAATATGTTATATTGCAAAATCATTAAAAATATACAATGTAGTTACAATAATTCTCGGTATTCTTTTTATCAAATGTTTAAAACAAGTTTATAACAAACAAACAAACAAATGTTGATAAGCCAGTTAATAGTTTATTAAATGTTTAAGTTTGAATACAATATTTTATGCACAAGACTTACTTTATACAGCAAACATGAATTTAATGATTATTTATGAGAAATGAATGATGAGTTTTACATAATTTTCAAGAAATATGGACTTTTCTAAAAAAATTCAAACAATTAGAAACAATGTGGACCAACAAATCAACATTTAAACATATCGCACAATAACTTCTCCATAGGAGTGCCTATAAATATATCATAATTAATGAATAAGTAAATTATATTAAAATAATACGAGCACTGAATACATACTTCCTATGGTTCGCTGGAAATAAATGTCTGCTATTTTATCGGATGATATAATCCGTAAGGATAGCAACGAAAGTAATAACTTTCCAAACCTACCAATATTTTAATGAATATTAGACAATAAACTAAAGGCGAATAGTTTTATAAATGCACGCGTAATATACCTGGTTGGGTTGGTTGGGTTGTGAGCTTTGACATGTTGTAATAGCATTAATTGTGCTTGGTCCTGCATGTGCTCAATTCGGTTCACATCTTTTAGTCCTCTGGCTTCTGAAATATATTGAATAACGTTTGTCACATAAAATTGATAACATTTGGTAAGTAGTTATAAAATAGCAAATATGAGATGACCTGGTTTGAAAAGTGCGAGAGCTTTCAAACAGGCGAACTCTGCCGGATCGACACCAGTGTTTCGGAATCTATTGAGAGCGTCGTTCAAGACTCGTATATCCGATGAATGGTCGGTGCCGTCCGGGATATTAGCGATTGAGAAAAGGGGTGACTTCTCTAAGGGGAGACACCATTGAATGGCACTCAACAGAAAGATCTCAGCCCATGACTCCTCCAGAAGAATCACCTCAAAGACAAACAAATCAATTGAATTCTAGTGTTTAGTATGAAGTATGCAATACTTGGTCTCTGAACGTAAGGTTTGCAAATGAGGGCAAGTTTTTGGCCCATTTGACGGCCATAAACAGGAGTCGCGCCGATGTCTCGTAAATGGATTCTGAGTGGCACTGAAGCATAGCATTGAAGGCCTGGTCAGCGCCACCCGAATAGCTCACTGAAGACAGTGAAGAGAGAGCGCCCATTGGATTCACATTCAGATAATAATTACTGCTATTATTGTAGTCAAAGTGTGAACTCATTGTTCTGTTTCTCTCTATTTCTGTCATTAATGTATAAAAACATAATTACTTTTATTTATTTTAAAGTTTCAAAGCATCAGTTTATTAGCCAACCCTTTGGGTTATCCTCTAAAGTATCTTCATTTTTATTCATTGAGTTTCTAATCTCTGAATTCAATTTATTTTGCTGAGAAAATCCAATATTAGGGCACCGGCTGTTTGATAGCGAACGAACACCTATTCAAAATGAAATATCAAATCAATACAGAATTGTATTTATATTGTTTGTTATATCGGTATTTGAATTGAAATTCTTTTCGTATAAACTGATTTTAAATAATTTTTGTTTATACGGTATATATTATTTAAAATTTTTCTTTCCAAAATTTTTAAAAATAATATTGTATTTAGAAGTTAGTAAATGGTATTTAAAAAATTACAGTAAGTTTTAAAATTAATAGACTTATAATTATAAGTTTTATATGAATAATAAACTTAACTTTTAAACTTAATTTAGTTTATGAAATTCTGGATTATATGTTTAAATGGGTTTAATATGAGTTCAATATTGTATTACTGTATTATAAATTATAATTTTTTTTCGATAATTTTAATCACTAAAACTTAAATAATGTTGACATGTTTGCAAGAAACTTTGCTTGTTAATAAATATAGTTTACTAAATACTAAA